TGATCGAATTACCGAACAGTGTTCCGGTTTCGATTGCATCGACATCTCTTTTCTAAGTTTGGCCATCTCTTTGTCTTTTCAATTTCAGTTCTTAAATTCATCAATCAATCCTTTCATTTATGTGATAGGCCTGCATTTAAAATGAACATTTGCCATAAATTAAAGGTATCTTATATTATTAGATATGTTATTATAAAACATACTTTAGTTAAGGAGTTATTGATACTTCAAGTGCAAAATGATGACATAAAACCTTGATAAAAAGTACACTTTTAAGTACTAATCATCAATTTAACATGAACTTTATAAATATTGATTGAACCAATTCAAATAAATGGATTTTTTTAATAATTATTTTATTTGATGAATAATAAATAGTGCATTAATAGTGTTAAAATTGATATAAAATTCAATCTAAACTTTACGCTATACATAATAATACATGGGTAATGAATCAAAATTTTATATATAAAATATAAATATTTACTTTTTCCAAGTATTCATTACTTATTTATATAAATATTTACTTTTTTATTCAATGAACTATGCATATTTAATAATGTGAATATTAACAAAAATACAACTTCTGAATATTAACAAAATACTTGTGGCACTAAATCATTGTAGCTAAAACAACACTATATCAATACTAGTGTTTTTTTTTTGTTTTATGCTCAACAACCTATTTTTTATGTTATTTTTTTAATTTGGTTATTTAATGTTAGGTTATTTTTGGAAATTATGCCTTGTAATTTTTTTTTATTTTTCTATTAGATTTTACTGGTTTTATTAATTTAGCTTTTTTTTCTTAATTTAAATTTTAGATTTTTAGAAGTGAGACTTAAAAAAAGAAACTTTATTCATTTTCTATAAATTTATCCTTATTTCATAATCTATGTTGTGAGTTTAACATGTTAGTTTGAGTTTTTTTCTATTTTTTTTATTAAACATTGAGTTAGTTTGAAATTGAGTTTTATAATTTTTATAATTTACTTTTTATGAGGTTATTTGAATCTCATAATTATAACTAATTTTGTTTAATTTTAATTTAGATTTTTTTTAATTGGGCTCTATATTGTTTTTATTTACTTTCTATTTGATTGTGCAAATCTCATTATTTGGATTACAGATTTTAAAGGTTGACATAAATTGATTTGATTTTTTTTGGGACGGTTTTTAATTGAACACACACACACACACACACACAATATATCACCGTCCAACAACTCAATTTTTCTTTTCTTTTGATGTCATTCTTAATATTATGTTGTTTAGGAACTAGACTTTGTTATTTTCTTTAATTTACTTTTTATGAAGTTATTTGTTTTGAGGGATTTAGGTTTTTCTCCCTTTCAATTTCAACCTTTAACATTAGATCTGTTACATTTTATTTTTAAAAAAGTTATCTTAGTTTCATGATCCAAGTGACGAGTTTAACAAGTTAGTTCAAGTTGAATTTGGTTGTTTTTCTGTGTTTTTTTAATTGATTTTTTTTTTCTGATTTCATTCTTAAATATTACATTAGTTGGAGATTGGAATTTGTAATTTTTTTTCATTGCTTTCTATGGAATTATCCTGATTTCATAATATAAATCGCTGGTTTAATAGGTTAATCTGAGTTGACTTAGGTAGTTTATTTTTCTTTTTATATTTTAATATATTTTTTTAATTTCATCATTTAATATTAAGTTAATTAAAAATTGATATTCATATTTATTTTAATTTATTTTTTATAGGGTTATCATAATCTCTTGACTCATGTTGCAAATTTAATAGATTAAGCTAAGTCAATCTAATGTATCATCATCTCAATATTTTAAAAAATATTATCTAACATGTCACTATATCAATATTGAAAATTGATATTATCCAATATGCATTATACTTTAAGTTGATAAATATTTTTTTATTAGAAAACATGTTAGTAAATCTTAAATATTTTTTTATATTAAAAAAATTGATCTATCCTACGAGACAGTTTTGACCATTAATCTAGTTTATAGTCATTCTTAGATCTTTTTTTTGTTATTGAAAAACACTTTAAAAAAATAAAATTTTTTGTTTATTTTTATTTTTTACTTTTTATTTTTTTAGATCGTTTTGATATGTTGATATCAAAATAAATTTTAAAAATATAAAATATATTATTTTAATATATTTTTAAATAAAAAATAATATTGTTATTACATTATCAATAAAGTTATCTTTAAAAATGATCTAAGCATGGGCCGACGTGTGGTCTTCTCAAACTAGGTTTGGGGCTAGTGCATGCAAAGCTCCTCGTGAGAAAAGAGCTACTACCCATAAAATTAGCCCAGGTTTAGCTTGAGACAGAGGTGGATTGACACCATTGAATATTATTTTTTTGGGATATTTTAGTATTTTAAAAATATTTTTTTAAAAATTTAAAATCATTTTTAATTAATATTTTTTAATATTTTTATATCATTTTAATATGTTAATATCGAAAATATATTTTTAAAAACAAAAAATATAATTTTAATATATTTTTAAATAAAAATATTTAAAAAACTACTATAATTACATTCCAATCACGCAACGTGCTAAGTATTGTACCTTGATCGGTCATATAAGACTAACATCCTTTTGCTTTTTTTCAAACTCAAAGTATGGATAGAGGACAATCCTCGTGATATTAGGATTTTATTTATTTATTCATTAAATCAAAATATTTTTATTTTATATACTGAAATTATTTTTGTTTTGAGCCTCCGCTTGTTTGCAGAAAAGTTATTTTTTTTGAAAGGTAAATTCTGGAGAAAATGAATTTTGAAAAAGTGAATTTCAAGAAAAATGAATTCCTAAAAAGTAAATTATTTTTTGATATTTGGTAGTGTTATGGAAAATGAACTGGTTTGATATAATTAGCAAATAATGACATTTCTAAACTTTTCACAACTTCCGGAAAATGTTTTCTTTCTAAATTTTTCAGGAAAACATTTTCCTGAAAACTAAGTTAAATTTTCCTTTGATTGAAAAGTATTTTTTGTTTACCAACTTTTCTAACAGCAAACAAACACAAGAAAATTTGGAAAGTGTTTTTTCGGAAATCATTTTCCAGAAAATAAACACAGCAAAAAAGAAAAATACTTTCCTGAAAATCAAGCCAAATTTGTTTTAGACTGAAAAATATTTTTCATTGACCAGAAAATATTTTTCGTTGATCAGAAAATGTTTTCTATTAACTGGAAAGTGTTTCTCGTTAATAGAAAAATGTTTTTCATTGATCATCTTTATTAATAACAAACAAATATATAAAAATTTAAAAAATAATTTTTCAGAAAATAAACATTTATCTTTTTACCTCTTTACCTCCTGGTTTTGTAGGAGGAAGTAAAAAGAATTGGAAATAAAAAAATCCAAAGTAGCTGCTTCATCCTCGACTGATTTCGTACTCATTTCAAAAGTGTGGTGCTGTAGAGCATTTTCTGGACTACATTAGAGGACCTGAAAGTATGCTCCTCTAGTCTTTTAACACAACCAGTAATTTTAGAACTACAGAACAATACATGATTATTAATTTGTGTTTATCGCGGGGAACATGTCGCCAAGGTCAAATATTGATACTTTTCAGTTCTTCTAGACAAGAGACGCAAAACATTACGTAGCTTTTATGTAGAAAAAGGAAAAAAATTATGCCCACAGACAATGTCTAGTAGTAGAGTATTCAAAACAAAACCAACGAAAACAAAAAACAGGGACGACTTCCTACAAGACGTGTAATCGATTCCTCTAAATCCACGTTCTTTCCTATCCCATACTGAATATTATTAACTCAGATTCAATCAAACTGTTTCCCATGCCTCTATCTCCATTACATAAACATTCAAGAGCTGGAAACAATTCTGTGACTTCTTTCTTTCTTTCTTGATTGATTGATAGTTATGGCTTCTTTGAGTTTGACCCACATCAGAAGGAGGAATTCTGTGACCGAGTTTACTCGGCCGAGTTTGATAACACGACGTGGAAGGAGTAAAGTTGGGTTCTTGAGGATGGTGGGTTCTCAGGGTCAGGGAGAGCCTGATTTGAGCGTCACTGTAAATGGGTTGCAAATGCCTAACCCCTTTGTTATTGGGTCGGGTCCACCTGGTACCAACTATACTGTCATGAAGAGGGCCTTTGATGAAGGTTGGGGTGCTGTCATTGCCAAAACTGTGAGTTTCACTCTCTCTCCCTCTCTCTCTCCCCCTCACATATATTTTGTTTTGTTGAAGAGGAAAGAAATGAAATAGAGTCATGCTATGTGGATGTTCTCTTGATCATATATATATATACACACATATATTTTTTCTGGGGGATGGTCGAGTGATGATGGAAGTGGGATCATATCAATGCTGATGTTTAAGATACAGGTGTTACAGTTGAGTTCTGGGTTAATCTAGTGAGGATTGGATGGTTCATATTTTGATGATCTTGTTGATTATTTCTTACGTCAGATTCTGGACTCTTTTGTTCTGGTGGATTGTGATTATTTTATGCAAAAATGAGATATCAATGATTTTAGTGATTGATCGCCATGGTCTCTTCCTTTTCCTCGCTGGTATTGATTGCCCTGCCTGTTAAAATAGAACTTTCATTCATAGTATCCGAATTGACATGGTGGAAAAAGTGAAAGCTTTTCTTAGGAATAATTAGGCTTGCTTATGCAAGATGTTGATCAGGATACAGTAGTATTGTTGAAGTACAGTAGTATTGTTGAAGTATAGGTATTGAAGTATTTGAGGGGGATTGTGTGCTTTGATGATTACTTTTGAGGAATGCTCGGTAACTTGATGCCAGAAATTCTAGGTTCTTACAAGGAATACTATTTGCAATAATCAATTTTGACCAGCATATTTACTTGCCTCATTGTTGACCATATCATATGAATGAAGTGCCTAGAGGACATAGTTTCTATGTTCTATTGGAGGAGTCTTTCTTTTCAATTTATCTGAAGCTTATTGGCATCCTTCCATGCTACAGCTATTGTATCTATTCATAAAAAAATGATCTTCAATTCTTAATTTGCTAGGTGTCACTAGATGCAGCGAAAGTTGTAAATGTAACTCCTCGGTATGCTCAGCTACGAGCAGGTGCAAATGGCTCAGCCAAGGGGCAAATTATTGGTTGGGAGAATATAGAACTCATAAGTGACCGACCTCTTGAAACAATGTTGAAAGAATTTAAGCAATTAAAAGAAGAATATCCTGATAGGATTCTCATTGCTTCAATCATGGAGGAGTATAACAAAGCTGCATGGGAGGAACTTATTGACCGAGTAGAGCAAACTGGAATTGTAAGATTTAGTCATCACCAATTTCTTACTTTTGCGATCTTTTTTTTAAGTTGGATGCTTGCTGTCATCTAATATTCCTGAAAATGTTTCCTAGGATGCCTTAGAAATCAATTTCTCATGTCCTCATGGAATGCCTGAGCGTAAAATGGGCGCTGCAGTTGGCCAAGATTGTGCGCTATTGGAAGAGGTTTGTGGATGGATTAATGCAAAAGCCACAGTCCCAGTATGGGCAAAGATGACTCCTAACATCACTGACATAAAACAGGTCATTTTCTTCCTTCGTTACTAAACATGCAATTTTAGCTTGATTTATCATGTAGTTAAGAAATATTGACTAAGGATAGAAATTTGTTTGTTTTTTATACATGGTGTTTATTTACAAGAAATGCAATTGTTATTTACTTGCTTAGCATTAGAAATCTAATCTGAAAAAATACTTAAAACATCTTTCCCTTTGAGTATATGTGGTGTACAGAAATGCAATTTCATTCTTCTCATATGTCTGGCTCAACAACACTTATGATTCTAAAAAATACTTAAAACATCATTTCCTTTGAGTATATGTGGTACAGAAATGCAATTTCATTCTTCTCATATGTCTGGCTTAACAACACTTATATGATTGAATAGCATACATCGTTTGATCTCGTCGATCTATTTTCTGCTGCTGTTTTTCATAGTATTGTGCATTACGCAGTAATATTTCAGTTACATTTTTTACTCATGACTTTTTTCTGATCTTGTTGTACAGCCAGCTAGGGTGGCATTACTATCCGGATGCGAGGGAGTGTCTGCTATTAATACCATCATGAGTGTTATGGGAATAAATCTGAAAACCTTACGGCCAGAGCCTTGTGTTGAAGGGTTTGTATTAGCTGATGGAAGGCAATATTTCCTATCAATTATTATTCCTTAAGTAACACCTTGGTGCTTAAATATTGTTGTCAGATATTCAACTCCTGGGGGTTACTCTTCCAAAGCAGTCCATCCTATTGCACTAGAGAAAGTAATGAGTATTGCTAAAATGATGAAATCAGAATTTGATTTGGCCCAATACTCACTTTCTGGTATTGGAGGTGTTGAGACTGGTGGTGATGCTGCTGAGTTTATTCTTCTCGGAGCAAATACAGTTCAGGTAGGCAAAAATAATTGTTTTGCATTTTGTTTATCATGTTCTTACCGTCTCAAGACATTTACATGTACCTGATAAAAATCGGTTGCCTGCTTAACCATAAGATTGCTGATATCCTTGTAGTTGGTAAATCTACTCTGATGCTGATATTTATTTTTAGACTGCTCGGGGTCAACACTAGGTGGATTTTACTGTCATGCTACTACTATTTGCTGGAGGAAAACATAAAGACTGTAAAAAAAAGAAAGAAAAAAAGAACAGCTGATTATTAAAAAAAAAAATCAGAATAGTTTGGAGCAAGTTCTTTTTGGTTATTAGTGAATTTAAGGTGTGACAAACCAGCAAATGCCTTTGTAACCCAAGCTTAATATTCTGTAAAGTTTAACACACTTTTAACTCAACGTGAAAAATTCAATACTGAGCTTATTGATCCATGGTGTGATCCCGTAAGTAGAAGTCAATGACAATGGCTTCTGATTACATCTCTTTCACAAGGAATTTGAAAACAATTTGTTCTGATCAATGTTTGAGGATGTATTTGGGTTTGTTTATATAAGGCCCAGGAAAAACTGGAGGGGATCCTTGAAAGAGGAGTATAAGTCACCTATTCATAACCAGATTTCGATTAAATTGATTAGACTTGTCGCTTGAAGGAGAATGTTTAAAAACTCGCTCCACCTCCTGATAGCCTTTTCCTCTGCTTATTCAAGGCCTCATTTCAATTTGTTCAATTCAAGAAGCAGGGCACTTTACTTCATTCGCATGGTAGGTGAACAATTTTATTACTTGATCCTGGGTCAAAGCATTCATACCGTGAGCTATGGGAATTGCTTCTCTGAATTTCTGATGTCATATAGCTAAAACCTTATCGTTTATAGAGACTGTGATTTCCACACAGAATCTGTCTGTCGGCAGGTATGAGGTTGGAACAACTACTAAAATATCACTCCTTGCCTCCAGAATTTATAATTTTCTGTTTGTGTTTGGTAAGACTTGTGGTTACTCTGCTGTTTTCTTCTTCCTGAATAAAAGAGAGAGAACCATAATTTGCCTTTGTTTTGAATTTTTTTAAAAGCCATCTTTTACTTCTACTGCATAACTGTTTTAGATTTCTGTACTTTATGCTAATATTTAAGACCATTGATGTTCGACTACAGGTCTGCACTGGGGTTATGATGCATGGATATGGCCTTGTGAAGAAACTCTGTGAAGAGCTGAAGGATTTCATGAAAATGCACAACTTCTCATCAATAGAAGATTTCAGAGGGTAATTCTTATCGAAGATATCTAAAGTCGCAAGCTACAAAAAGTTGCCTGCAGTTTAGCTAAATCTTCTTCCTTTTCTATTTGTCTTTCCAGTGCATCTCTTGAATATTTCACAACGCACATGGATTTGGTGCGCCGGCAACAAGAAGCCATGCAACAGAGGAAAGCTATCAAGAAAGGTTTGCAGTCTGACAAGGATTGGACTGGAGATGGTTTTGTTAAGGAGGCTGAGAGCATGGTTTCCAACTAATTTTTTGAAAACCTGTAGCAAGTCTCTCAGTTGTTTGATAAAAAATAAATGGGATTTGCCAGGTTAGCCCATCGACCAGAGTGAGTTTATTAAGTATGCGTCCAACTGCTGGAAACAGTTTTTTGACTGGCAGCAAAGATAGTGAAAATTGTACAGTACCACCGTATATTTGTTCACTCTTGCATGACCATGTGGAGCATACAGCAAGGATTCATTGTCAAACAGTAAGGAAAAATATATCAGCACCGAAAATCTTGTATTTTTTTTTTTTGGTATAAGAAGATGTTGGGAATTCTAACAGTTGATGTTCTTATATTTATTTATTGGAAACTAAGTACATTGACACAATATTTAACGTAGTTTGACAAACTATCTACATCATGGGAGATGTTCATATTATTAGAGATAAAGAAAGAATACAATATAAATACATAGAGGAGTATGATTATATCCACTCTACTAAACTCCCATTTCATATTGCTGCACAACCACTCTCTTCTTCTCCTCTCTAATTCTCCTCACACTCTCTTTGCAGTGCTGTAATGGTAGCCACTACTTGCTGTCCTTGGCAGCTCACCCTCTCCTATATTTCTCACATCTTTGGTTTTACACACTCACTTTGTGTTGCTCTCTTGATGCCTATTTATATACAATAATGGCAAGATAACTTGGCCATAAATTATGGCACTAATGGTGACAGCACATAGGTTGCATAATTTTATCAATGGTTGGTGCAATTTGTTTGATAGTAGCCTTTTGATAATGACATCTCTCTTCTTTAGAGTAGGCTGTAAATGCTCTATGATTGCTGCATATTAATGGCAATAATCCTAACAATCACCCCTTTTGCCATTCATGTGGGTAATTGTTATCTTGCTTTTTTAGCACATGTTTGCATTTTACAACTCATCTAACCTTATCATTCTGAGAGCATATTTGACCAAGTTTACAAGTATTCGCCAAATCTTTCAATCACCAGAGTCACCCAAGCACCTTTTTGCTCACTCTAAAGGATTGCTTCAGTCAGATGGTCTGTCACATCACATCTGAAAAGTGTTAACGCTTGTTTCTGGGACACAACATTCCCCTTCGAGCGTATCAACTATGCTCGGTATGGAATGACTTATCAAGCCTTACACCAAGACTTACAACACTTCCTTAAATGAAAATTTTTATTTCAAAGTGCAATAGTTATTATTTGGGTATTTCAATATAATCACAAGCTTACCACTCTTCTAAAAGTCTACTCATCTAAGAGTTGCGTCTGCTCTATGTTTCATCCTAGAAACCACACCTTACTTCTCCATGGGTCTCCCGCTCTTAGTCTTAAAAGTCTAGGTAGCTCTCTAACTTTAACCATTGGGACAACCCATGAAAGGTTGATCCATATTTATCTTTATACTCTAAGTATTATAATGTCATTACCAAGCCCACCACTTTAACAAGAGTTAACTTGTTCTAGAAACCTACGCATGCCCTCTGCTCCTACATAGCAGTTGTATCTTAATGCTCTACAAGTCATCCACTTATTGTCCAAGTCAAATGTCTTCTAACTCGTTAATCTTTAACATATGAGTAATATCCATAAAGTTAATCCTGTATTTGTCTCCATACTTATCATAGCCATTCCATTAGTTATTCATCTGTCCACTCATATCTAGCCATCACATCAGCTTGGGGAGTTCTGTAATTGGGGTCCTATCATGACCCTCACACCTTCTGTAAGGTGTCATCGCCTATTATTATGGGGTTGTCTGATCTTGGGCTTATATTATGACCCTCACACCTTTTATAAGAGGTGTCTCCACTTGTCGTCATGAGACAGTCTGATCCTGAGCTTATATCATGTTTCTCACACCTTCTGTCTGAGGTGTCTCCGTCTGTCGTCAAGAAACGATCTAATCTTGGACTTATATCATGGTTTTTACACCTTCTATCTGAGGTGTCCCCGCCTATCGTCATGAGACGGTTTGTACTTAGGCTCATATCATGAACCACACACTTATCTAAGGTGGCTCTGCTTGTTTTCATGCAGTGGTTTGTACTTGAGCTCATATCATGGCCCACATATCTTTCTCTAAGGTGTCTCAACTCGTTGTAATGCAGCAGTTTGTACTTGGGCTCATATCATGGCCTACACACCTTCCTCTAAGGTGTCTCTGCTCTTCGTCATGCTGTTGTTTGTGCTTGGGCTCATATGGTGACCCTCACACCTTCTGTTTAAGGTGTCTCTGCTCGTTGTGGAGCGGTCTTATCCTCCTTTATCAGGGATGACTCTAGTGGCTCCAAGATTCTCTATCACCATGTGGACTTAGGAGAGATTACCATTATTAATCATATAGAAAGAGAGAGTTACGGTACTCTCATTGCAATCTTCCATCTTATTTCCTATGTTTGGAGTTTTTGTTCCTTTCATTATGGCACTTGATAACTCCACCTACACCAACTTTCTTTGGTGTCTTCGCCTTTCATCATAGGTAGTCGCACCGCCTCAATTAGACGCTTTTGCAATAGCTTATTTTTTCATCTTTACATGCATTGGAAAGGTCCTCACTTGTTACCTTTATCAAGAGCATAAGAGACTTCTTATTGTACAACTTTTTACACAGTCTCTGCTCTAAGCTTCATCTAAGAACTCTTCTTCTCCTTTTACATGTTGTCTTATTACAGTATCTCGTTGGATCCTACAAGTACTCCTATACAATCTCTGTATGCTCTTGTGTAATTTTTATTCTCCAGATTTCTCTCTATTCTTTACTTTTATGTTTGATAGTAGCTTATCCTGTCACAACACCTATCTAAGTCAAAATAGGGTGCCAATTTTTATCCTTTTGCTGTATTTCACTATTATCAGGGTCTTCATCCATTATCCCCTCAAGAAATTACAGTTACCGAATCTATCTTTTTTTGAGAAATCACCACTCCATCAGATCCTTGAACATATGAAACCCAACTGTTTCTTTGTGTCGTCATCCTGCTAGTCTTCAACAGTTTTATTACAAACTGTTACATATACAAAAATAATAACGTATGGATAATCCTTAAACGAAGCAAGTTTTCAAGAAAGATTGGAGGGGTCACACCGGTCCCATTTAAAACCCAATCTCCTAGCTAGAACTTCTTAGGCCACATCTATCCATCGTACTGTTTTTCCGTATACATAACCATTTCCTAGCTTTATTGCGACTTTTCTTTACAAGTGATCTGGAATATTTTGATTTTATACCTAATTTTTCAACATCTAGCGAGACTATCAGTGCTTGGATTTGTCAAGATTGGTTTTCATTAATTTCCACTCTACACCTTTAATGGTTCACATGATCGGGTGTCCAAAGTGTTTTAATTTTTTCTTCCCTCAAGAAAACTAAAAAATCTCCCTATTTAGCAGTTCAACACATGTAATTGGGCAAACATGTGTGATTTCTTCTTTTTCATCTCCATCGATCACTATGAAGACCTTCAGATGTCTCTTGATTGGGCAATCTCTCCTAGTAATTCACCACCATCATTTTTGGTCCAAATCTCAATGACTGGACCATACCATTGCATCCAGAATGATTAAATTAACTGGAAACAAGTTTGAAATCATCCAAATCGCATTTCAGACAACTAAGATTTGATCAAAATAATTATGGCCTAATCAACGACCCAGACTCAATCTTAAATCCGGTTGCACATAAGATTAGCTACCTGGATCCTATCCTTTAGCTCGCGGCTTGGCTCGGCCCACGACTGATGACATGGTGTGTGGGTCTTATATTGTTGACTTGGTGATGGCATGACATGCCAACTGTGCATGTTAACGCCATGATTATATCATGATGATGTCATCCTTATTTGGGTCAATCACGTGGGTCGAGTCACTTAGTATCTGGGTCGAGTCAGCCCATCCGGGCGAAGAAGTCGCGTGGGCCATGTTTGTGCGCATGGCCAGACGCCTCGTTGGCGCGTGATGGTATGTGTGGCCATATTCAACGTCTGATTTTCACTAGTGTACTTGTCTCTTTCTCCTTTACATGGTGGTATGGTCAAAACACAATTTTGACAACTTTTATTTTTGAGCAAAAATCAAACACCATTTTAAACCATATGCTCTGATACCAATTATTAAGGATTCCAACTGATGATGTTATGATATTTAGTCATTGAAAGTACACTGACATAATATTTAACGTGATTCGGCAAACTGCCTACATTCACGGGAGATGTTTCTATTATTAGAGATAGAGAAATAATACAATACAAATACATGGAGGAGGAGGATCACATCTACTCTACTCAACTCTCATCTCTCATTGCTGCACTTGCAGTTTCTGCTATGGCAGCAACCATTGCAACCACTTTCTTCTTCTATTCTATCTTCTTCTCTTCACACTCTCTCTCTTTACAGTGGTGGAATGGCAGCCACTGCTTGCTGTTCTTGGCAGCCCACTCTCTTTTATATTTCTTACATCTTTGGTTCTACACATACTTACTTTGTGTTGCTTTCTTGATGTCTATTTATAGGCAATAATGGCAAGACAACTTGGTCATAAATTATGACACTAATGATAGCAACATATAAGTTGTATCATTTTATCGATAGTTGGTAGAACTTGTTTGATAATACTCACCTATCATTATAGCTTTGTGATAATGATATTTTTTTTTTAGAATAGGCTGCAAATACTCTATAATTACTGGATGTTAATGGCAACAATCCTAACAGAAAATTGTGTTCTTCCCCTCCAATTCAATGAATTGGTATAGCATTAGCAGCATTGTTATGGTTACTGTATCTTTTTTATTCATTGAAAACAGCGATTTATTAATAGGTTCAAAACAAATAGCTGGGTTTGTTTATGTAGATTCCATCATTCACTCCCATTCCTCCAAGGGGATGCTGCTCAAGCATCTGCACCTCTTGCCGGAGACCAAACACATGAAGGAATTAAAGACAGAATGAAAATAGCATATGCAGAAACACATAATGGCACATGATTTCCACTGGTTTAGGATATTTGACATGTTTTACACTTATAATAACTAATATGTTGTTCTAACATGCAAGTCACGAAGAGAACGGCTTACAATAAGCACTTATTTAAAACTCAATGGGCACACCATGACTAGCTAGTCATTTCTAATTTCACCAGAAAGAAATAATCCTGCTCTCCGTTCATTCTTTGGTCCATTTTGCTCTAGCCAATTCTTTCTCCTGCAGAAGAATATGTCCAGAGATAAAACACTACTTAGTAGTTATTGTCAATGCAAGTTTAAACTTTCTTTGAGCATCAATATCACAGCATCACAACAGCTTATGTAGTGCTTAGCTCGGCCATTGCAGAATTAAATGGAAGATGGGATACGGATCCCCATTTGGCCTCAGCTAGCTGCAGATATGAAGACTTTATTCACTAACCTTTTCTTTTAAAGATTAAATCTTTCTTGTAGGTGGAGCTGCATAGACACAAGCCCACAAATAAGCTTCATGGCATATATTAAGGGCAAGGTGGCAAGGTTCATGGCCAAATAGGGTAGGGAGATTTGGTATGATAGGCTCGGAGTAGGGTTTGTTGGGGTGGACTAAGCTCACCCTCAACCATTTTATTTTTTTTTAAAATAAGAATTAAGGATGTTAGACAAATAATATTTATCTAGACATTATCAATGTACACAACACTTCCTCACCTCTTTACTCCCTTAAAAAAACCCTTGAATAGACACCAACTATTTTAAAATGGAAGTTAGAAAACATGATTTACTTAACAAGAGCATGCAATACTATTCAAACAAAATAAGTTTTATATGCCAAATTAATTATTATTTTTCCATGTTAACTGATTGATTATTCACTACAAATTTCAGAATTAAACGTTAATCATTTATCATCTGTCACATTTTTACTTACAATAGATTTTTTAAGACATTTTTGTACTGATAAAACCCTTGAGCTATCATTCATAGCTAGCTTGGCAACATAACAGAGACAATAATGGAACGTGTAAAGTAGCTCACCGGAAGATGTAGTGGGAGTGGAATGTTCAGCAGTACTCTTGGAATGGGTTCTTGAGAGCTCTTTAAGCTGTAAGTGCATGCTGTTGATGAAAGCTACTGTTTCTTGCTGGGGTTCCTCCATTGCTTCTTTCAACTTGCTCAGTGCAAAGCAGTATGCTTCCTGCATATTGCCTCAACATTATGATGATCAAGACCATTAAACCAGGTTCAGAAGTATATCTTATCAAATTGATCGCCTAATCCAAAATATATTAGCTGTGGGCCAGTAATAATTAAGCTTATCTTTAAGAGGAGTAACCAGAATTTGAACTGATCCTAAGCACGAAGTTATAGAAGCCCTACTGCGCTAGAAAATGATTAGTTAGTAAATCCAAATGCTTAAATTATTCGGTGAAAACAAAAATAAATTCTTATATCATACCATATCGTTATGTGCAATTGTATAAAAGCAAGAACTAACCAAAAAAACACATGCTGCCTCATCAGCTGATCAATTGAAAAGTTCTACTTAATTTGTATGATATTATGAAATTCATTATATTATATGAAAATATTATAATTTCTGTATAGATTTATGTATAGCATATTTTACATTATCATATGTATGTTGACCTAGTTATATAATAAATGACTAGGTTACATATAATAATATAATAATATATTATATATTATACAGAATAAATTATATAAAAAAATTACAATATTTTTTATATATAAAATAACACATTCCATAATATATAATATCATTTTTCATTTTAATTAAATCGGAGCAATGATTTAAAGGAAATTCTTAGCTTTCTCTCTCTCTCCCTCTCTCCCTCTCTCTATATATATATATGGCCACACACATACACACTGAATACTGAATGTCTTCCTTATATGAATATTATTTCGTAAGAATGAAATAGACGATAGTTTGGCATAATATGTTCATTAGTTTTTCAATGAATTGAAAATAAAATGACAATGTCTTTTTTTTTTTTTATTTTTTTACATATTTACAAGTTAGACAAACGTTATATTACAAAAATATTCATCTATATTTAGACAAACCATCCTAGACATACAAAACAAAATTAATGATCAAGAATACAAAAAGAGCCTGATTGGTATACAAAATATAGCATAGAAAAGTGCAAAAGTACTTAATGAATAGAGATTGAAGATGACTTATGCTTTCTTTCAAAGAGAATTTTACTAATACGAAATGGGAAGAAAAGAAACTTAAAAAATTTAAAGTATCATGATTTTCTTTTGAATTATTAATTATTTAATCTTTCATATAGATATAATAAAATATAAATTTGAGTTGGATGTCATTAATAATTTAAGACAGCAATTTCAGTATGTATACTTTAATTTTTTTTATATTTTTTGGTTTGTCATTTTATTAATGGCTTGGAATCCCAATAATATTTCTTTGATTACTATAAAAAAAAATCAATTAAACCTATAAATTCACAAATTTGTCCTTCAATTTAATCTACTAATTAAACATTTTTAGCTATGAAGGGAGGAGAGTCTTTTATAAATGAGATTTTTTTTTTGGTTGAGATAATGGTTAAAACTTTGGTATCGGGTCACTAGACTCACTACTATTTTATTAAGTAAAATAGTTAATTTAAAACATAAGAATACATTAGCGAGTCAAAAGTTTATGAAATGTTATGTGCTTACGAATAAAGATTACTTATAAGGCGAGTAGTGAATTTTGTTATATTTTAACTCATGAGTTGTCAAATCTTCTATAAAATCATGTCTAATTGGAAGTCTGAGGCACCTAATAGAATAAAAATTAAAGCATTTCTAAAAAGTGTTTTTGTTTAATAAATTAAAATAATTTTTTTATTTTTGATATCAAGATATCAAAATTATTAAAAATAAAAAAATTAATATTGATTTAATGTATTTTTAAGGTAAATATACTTTTAAAAATATAAGTTAATTACCACACTTCTAAATAAACTCTTTATATTTGTTTGGTAATGCAATGATAGAGAGTTTTTGTAAAAGTATTTTTAATTAAAAATATATTAAAATAATATTTATTTATAATTTTTTTAAAAAATTTATTCACATCAACATAACAAAATCATTAAATAACACATAATTTTTTTTTAATTTAACGCATTTTCCTGCTAAAATAATTTTTAAAATAGTCTGAACCACGAAAAGAAATACTCATTTTGAAAACCATTTTTTGTTTAGTTCAAAACTAATTTTAATTGAAAAAAATAATCTTAAACTCAAATACAAACACACACTAATACATTTTCCGCCAAAGATTTAAAATTTAAAAAGGAAGAAAGACTATGTAGTGTAATAAAAGACATCTTTATCTTCATATTTAATTTATTCAATTAACTAACATTTATTAAATTTGAAATTAAGATACGGTTTAAGATAATATGCTATTTGATATCGTAATCTGGATGATTTTTAATGTGTTTCTTAAAATATATTTGGGTAAAAAAAATCATATTGTTTTTATTTTTTATTTTTATGATTGTCCGGAATCAATTCCAAGTTTTTTTCAACTATAAGCATTCCCGACAATATAATCAAACATATACTAAGGTGCCCTTGAATGAAGGATTTGGAATTAATGACATTTTAATTTTAATCCCATATTTAGAATAGTAACAAAGAATCATAATAAAATTTAAAATTTATTTTTAAGATGAAAAAGAATAATGATTAAAAAATAATTTTATTAATAATGATAATAATAAAAATATTAAAGTTGATTGTAATGGCTGTGTTAACTGTGGTGGAGATGATAAGGAAGTATTAATATTTGAGTAATAACGAGATATATATATATATATATATATATATATATATATATATTAAAGAGTGATGATGTAGTAATGTTGTGGAGGAATGAAAGAAAAATAATAATAATAATATATTAAAAAATATTATCACCATTTTCAATGATGATAGTAATGGTAAAGATGAGGTAAATGATGTTTGGATTTGCGAACAATGTTTTGTTTAAAAATATGTTTTTTTAATTGTTTTAATATAAAAATACTATTTTAATCTATTAAAATACTTTAAAAAATAAATGTTATCCCATAGTAAATATACAATAAATTTTAAATAATATATTATTCTTTAAACAAATTTCATTCACAGTAATATTCTCATCCCTCTATAACAATTAGACTATATTTAATTTGATTTTTCATTCTCACTCTTCATTTCAATTGTTCTTTAGCTCCTATCAATTCAATATCTATAAAATTAGAATATAATTTTTCATTTTCATTTCATTGTTTTCTCTGTTACCGATCATCACCCAAGTTCATTCTAAGAAGACTAATTTAAGATTTTTTTTTTCACGGTTTAGTTCAAAGACAAGAAAAAGCGTATCCCTTCAATGATTACACGAGATCGATTTGGCTGCCATACGCAGTGTTAGGACAGTCTCAACTTCAAGATATCATTGTCTGTAAACTAGAACAGACTAAAATAGACAGAATCTAGTCTTGTCTTATTATTTTCATTAAAAAAACTCAGTCTCGTCTTTTCAAAATGATCTTTTAAAGCTTGTGATGTGATTCAAGCAAGTAGTCTAGTCATACCATGTTGGATTTGACTAATGACTTATTATAAGGAAGAATGTGACTAAGCTACACACAGCAAGGGACTGCATTTATTTTCTAGAACGTTACCCTAGTTCTTTGCTGTCTGTCTTTTAAAGGAAATACAGATCTGTGTGTCTATGTCTGTGTGTCGATGTGTGTGTGTGTGTGTGTGTGTGTGTGTGTGTGTGAGGGAGAGAGAGAGAGACAGAGAGAGAGGGCTAGAGTTTATTACCATGAAACTGTCTAGTTCTGGCTGACTGAGGGAGCTTGGATTGGGAAATTGACAGGATAAAGTCGGCCTCACCCTAAGGATTCGGTCAACATCACCACCGGTACCAACCTGATATGTCAAAAGCAAGAAGAAACAATGCAAATCGTATTCAAATCTTTGATTTCATTATCGAAAAAATTAAGAAAAAATGACATGTATTGCTTTCATTCATGCATATGCATGAGTCCTATGCATTAATTCATGGAATCTGATCACTGTGATCTTTGGAACAGAACTTGAAAAGAAAATGCAGCCTCTGAAAATTAGTGATAAGTGTAGGATTCTGAATCCTCATCAATAAATGGGGACATTATATATATTATTTTATTTGCTATTCATATCTGCACAATTTGATGAATCTTGTATACGTGCTTCAACTTCAAACTCTTGAAACTTGCTAGCATCACTCTACCATGTTTTGGAATTTTCATCAGTACAAAAAAATGGATCATGAAGCTCAAGATCATGTTGTAGAATTTTCCCGTTTGTGTTTTGCTGACCAAGTGTAATGTTCTAAAGTGTTGGTTGGTGCTATCTTAGCCACTTAGCATTGCACTCTTGACAACCCCATAAAAATGTAGAAGGAAAAACATAATCTGATACGCACATTAACATGATTTTGATACCTCAAGATCATGATCAAATTAAATAAAGTTTGGTAACACTGCCATAAATATAGTTGAAATTAATGAGGCAAAAGTTGAGTTACATGTGCTGAGAAAAAAATAATTTCACAAACAAATTTGAATTAACCTCTTAATGCTTCTGATATAATTTTACATCACACAGTGCACACGAGAGAGAGAGAGAGAGAGAGAGAGAGAGAACCTTCAAACAGTCGATGTGAGTTTGGACCAAAAGTCCATACAAAGGATGGCTAGAGATTCTCTTCTTGAGAGCCTCAGCTTCTGCAGTGTCAACTAAGAGATCATCATCTTTCCCAACAGTATTGTTCATGCTGCTACTCTCCATTTTTCCTCCAAAATATAGGACTTCAAACCCTTTGGCGCAAACTAATAATTTTATCTGTTTACCACATCTGTTCAAATTTATGAAGCCCACTTCCAACTATTAGCGGTAAAACAAGGGAAGCATCAGGACTGTTGCTCCCATTTTTTGGATTGACCCATGCATGCAAAGGTATCAGTCAGAGAACACTGGACTTTTTTGCTTAATCTCATCTGCCTTTTTACATGTGTGAAAGTTACAGTTCAAGAGTTTCTCGAATAATGGGAGCTTTGATAGTACATTTTCTGCATAAGCAGCCAGTGCCTTCCTCGTCTTTATCTTTCTCCTTTGTACTGCTCATTCTCCCACTTTTTCTAGCAGAACATCCAAATTCGTTACTGTTTTAGTGTAATGAAAGGACTCTTTTTATTATCTGTATAGTTTTGTTCACATATGAGCAAAGAATGTTTTGGAACTGTTCAACTTCCCTAGGAGAATTGACAGCTCAACATCTGCTTACTACACATTCTAGGCAGTGAATAGTTAGAACACATGAAGCTCTAGCAAGAAAGCTTGGTAAAGAGTAACAGATATTGGGCCACCCACGTACTCTTCTATATCTCTCTCTCTCCCTCTCTCTCAAACAGAGAGTATTATAGTATATTAAAACGCTAAAATACATTTAGGAAAAGTGTACTATTTTTTATGTAATATATATATAATGATAGTAACTAACTAATTTAAATTTCTTATTATTCTCAACTTAATATTAGAATTATTACACTTTAAAACTTTCTTCTTCTTTTTTTAATAGATTCTTTGTTTCAGCTTATGGTGCAACTTTTTCTTCTTCTTTTGTTTTGAAAGCTTCCCCTGCTACTATTATGAATCCTCATATTTTTACTTCTACCTCTTCTTTGAAATCTTCCTTTACTACTATTGTGCAACCTTCCCCTACAATTATCGTCGTGACTCTTGTCACCAGAAAGACTTTAATTGCAAACATTGTTTCCATAACTGATACTCACAAAATTATTTCTTTAAAATTTATAAACAAATTATTTTTATTTTTATTGGTGAATGTGGATGAAACCATATCCTTTTCAATAAGATATTTTTTTTTATTAATGACTTTTTGTCATGTTCTATTCCTCACATGATTGTTGTTGATGGTTCTTCTTTTTAAGTTAATATTTTTTTTATTAGAAATAATAAGATCAACTTATTATAAATGCACTACTTTCTTCTCTTTTAATGAATGTACTATATCTTGTTGTTGATTGTCAAACCTTGCACTATGTTCGGTGTACTCTTAAGCAAGCCTTTGTTTATCCGTTTAATTCTTGTATTATATAACTTTATGGTTCTTCTTAAAATATTTATTTAGGTGATTATCCGATTACTATATTTATACAAAAGCAAAGGCATTGTTTAATGAATTAGTAGCTATTGGCCGTCCAATTTCTCTAACAGATTTTAATTTATAAGTGTTTCATGGTCTTTAAGGTGAGTTTAAAGACTTAATAACAAGCCTCGTGACCAAGAAAAAACCTCTTTTATATACTAATCTTTATAGTCATCTTTCTACTAATAAGTTCATTCATAAAATCTCCCTTTAATCTATAGGTATTGTTGTTACTACTCCTTTACTGCCCAAGCCAGCTCATACATCACCATCTCATATTGCTCAATGTCAGACCTCTAGTTTGTATAATAACAATTATAATTTCAGTTATGGTAGATGATGATCTTGTGGAAGCTAGCTAAACAATTATAACAACAATCGTAATAACACTAATATCATGTCTGATTTTTAGGTTTTAACGGGCCTTCAAACAAGCAGGGTAATTGACAACAAAACCAACAAAATAATGACTCTTTACAATAGTCTAATGTCAGGTGTTAGCTATGTCAAATCTTGGGTCATTCAGCCTGTACTGTTCTCAATTTCAAAGCCATGGACAACAACCTAATGCCACTTGTGCTCAATAATGTTTCCTTAACAAATTGTGTGGATTGGTTTCCTGATAATAGTGTAAATTAACATGTCACATCTGATCTTGCAAATCTAACAAGGTTCAAACTATATCTTAGTAACGATCACTTGCAAGTTGGTGATGGTAAAGGCCTTTCTATATCTAATATTGAGCATACTAAGTTACATACTCTAAAATGTACCTTTACTTTATTTATTTTTCTTCATGTACCCATATTCAAAAACCATTATTTTCTGTTCAGAAATTTTATCTTGAAAATAATATTATTTTTAATTTCATCCATTTATGTTTTATATTAAGGATCTCAACACTAAGGCACTGCTCCTTTTCGGTCAGATTAAAGATGGTTTCTATATTTTATTAGAGTCTTCTGTCATGTCAATTCCTCAAGTTTACTAGTCTCCTTACATATTTTTCTATGTTAATCAATGTCATCGTCGATTGGCTCATCCAACTTCCCGTGTTTTCAATTTTTTCATATAAAAAAATAACATTATTTATACCTCTAGACAATTTCAATTTTAGTGTTAAGTTTGTTCGTTATGAAAGTTGTCGCGTCTGTTATTGGGATCTACGAGCCACAAAACTTATGCTTCACTTGAATTAATATTTAGTAATGTTTAGGGTCATTTTTTTTATTCTAATGGTTTTTGTTATTTTTGTTAATGCACATATAAAATATATATGGTATTATCCTCTTGTTGCAAAGTGTGATATCCTATCTAATTTTCATCAATTTTAATTTTTGGTTAAGCCCCAATTTTCACTAAAAAATAAATTGGTTGGGTGGTGAATACTGTAAGCTACATATATTTTTTTTTTCAGACTATTAGCATTCATCATCATTCAATTTTTCCTTATACTCATGAACAAAATAACACAATTCAATGTCGTTATAGGTATAATATAGAAGTCAATCTTACTTTTCTTGGACAATGTAAAACACCATAAGGTTTTGGAATTACACCTTTGAAACCTCAATTTATCTTATTGATCACATGCATGTTCTTATCCTCGACAATAAGTACCTTTTTGATTGTTTTTTTCAATGTTCTTTTGATTATGATTTTTTGCATATGTTTGGTTGTCTTTGTTTTTTGTTTTTTCATCCATGTCATAATTATAAATTAGATTTTCATTCTTTTCTATGTGTGTTTTTAGGATATAGCTTATCTTGGCTATTGTTGTCTTAACATTGCATATTAACAAATTTATATTTCTTGTCATGTCCGTTTGCATGAACAAGTGTTTTCTTTTGACAAATCTGAAGAATGCATAACCAATCCCTACTCTTTCTCCTAAAATCTCCATCAATTTATCCAATTTCCTCACCTCACTAATTTTTTACTCTTTTACGCTTATAGCCTCTCAGCCTCTCGTTTTTGCCTACTCACAACAGTCATCATGTCATGGTCTTACATCACCACATGTATATTTCTCTAATAATCACATTATAGGTAAAGGTTTGGCCCTTTCTGAATTGTAATGTAATAAGTCTGATGTTGTTGGTTCTTCCAAGTCTCCCAATGCTTCTGGTGTTAGATTAAATTTGGTTATTGATCTTCTATTATTTGTTGTAAGATCATCAAAGTTTAGCTCCCTCTGCTTCACTATCTATAGTTCATCGATATCATATGGTTCTTCATCTATGTCTGCCAAAGACAACTAATTTGACAATTTCTTTAACCTCTTCTGACAACCATAAATCTCATCTAGTCTCTTATCCTGCCTGTGAACCACTTACCATTTCTGATGTTGACAGGTATAAGGATTAACAAGATGCTATGAATGCTGAAATTTAGGTGCTATATTTCATTGACATTTGGTCATTGATTTTCTTTTATCATTCAATGAATGTTGTTGATTATCGTTGGATGTACAAGATCAAACATCATGTCGATGACAACATTGAATGTTATAAGGCGTGGTTGGCTGTTAAAGTATTTAGTAAGTAGGAAGGTAATGATTACTTTGGAACTTTTAGTCTTATTATTAAGAAAGCCACTATTTGGTTAATTTTTACATTTACGATGTCGTGTGGTTAGAGAATTAATCAACTTGGTATTTATAATGCTTTTTTTAATGGGACACTTGATAAAGAGGTCTATTTGCAATAACCTCTAGATCTTGTTGATTCTAATCTCTCTTCTCATATGTGTTGGTAGCATAAATTCTTTTATGGCTTGAAACAAGCTCTTTGAGCATGGTACACTTAGCTTAATAATTATCTTTTCTGTATTGGCTTTTATACCTCTAAGATTGACACATCATTATTTATTTTTCTTGTGAGCGATAATATTTTTTATCTTTCAGTTTAAATTGAAAATATTTTATTAACTAAAAGCAATTCAGTCTTGCTTCGCTGATTGATTCAGTTGCCGAGCTTAAAGCTCAATCTTTAGGATTTAGGAGTTGTTCATTATTTTTTGGTATTAAGGTTCATCCCACTATTATTGGTATCATGCTATGATAAGATAAGTATATTCTTGATGGGTATCATGCTACGATAAGATAAGTATGTTCTTGACATCCTTCATCGGGTAGGAATGTATTCTTATAGGCTTGTTGATCCTTCATCGAGTAGGAATGTATTCTTATAGGCTTGTTGATACACTTATTTCTACATCAAAGGTTGATGTAGTGTTCGATTGCTTGTTTTTTGATCCAATATGTTTTTGACTAATTGTTGGTGCTTTTCAATATCTCATTTTTATAAGACCAATTTTTTTTTTTAGTTAACAAAATCTATCAGTATATGTATGATCCTATAGATGCACATTGGGCTGCCTTTAAACGTATTCTATGTTATCTTAAGGTTACGGTTTTGTTTGGTCTTCATATAACTTAGAGCTCTTTCTTTTCCTTATATGGTTTTATAAATGCTAATTGGGTTGGCAATGTTGTTGATTATAAATCTATGGGTGGCTATCTTATTTTATTTATACATATATTGATATTTTCAAAGTTAGGAAAACAATGTATTGTGGCTCGTTCTTTTATTGAGACTGAGTATAAAGCCTTAGTCGATAGCACTTTTATTTATGTGATAGGCCTGCATTAAAAATAGACATTTACCACAAATTAAAGGTATCTTATATTATTAGATATATTATTATAAAACATGCTTTGGTTAAGAAGTTATTGATACTTCAAGTGCAAAATGATGATATAAAACCATGATAAAAATGCACTTTTAAGTACTAATCAGCACTTCTAAGGTTATATGGCTTCAATATTTATTGTTAGATACAACTTACTCCTTCTTTTGTGCCTATGATTTGGTATGATAATTTGGGTGTAACTTATTTGTCTGCTAAACCTATCTTTCATGCTCGTGCTAAGTATATTGAGCTTGA